CAGAGGCAGATAAATCTGAATTTGAGGCCAGCCTGGTGAATTTGAGGGCTACATAGTTAGGTCCAGGTTATCCAAATCTATATAAAGAGACTCTGTTTACAAAAAAAAAACAAAACAAAACAAAACAAAACCCACCACCAACAACAACCACCAACAACAAAAGAGCAAAAACCCAAGCCAGAGGCCAGCTGTGGTAGTACACACTTGTAACTCTAGCATTCCAGAGGTAAGGGATGAAAGATCACAAGTTCAAGGTCAGAATGGGTACATAGTGTATTTAAAGCCACTCTAGGATACATAGCAAATGTGAGACCCTGGACTATGTATAGAATGAAACCCTGTCTCAGAAAAAATAAAGGCAAAAACCAAAGTGGAGCCCAGTTGCCTTGTAGGCACTGGCATTGTGGGCAGTGCACAGATCCATGAAGATAAAGACGTAGTGTCTGCACAAATTCTCACCTGAAGGCTAGGCAAGGCAACTCAATAGGAGAAAGAGGATCCCAAGAGCAGGCAAAATGGTCAGAGACACCCCACTCCCACTGTCATAAGTCCCACAAAAACATTAAGCCAACAAACCATAACATATATTCAGAGGACCTAGTGTAGACCCATGCAGATTCTGCAATTGCCAGTTCCGTCTCTGAGAGCCCCTATGAACCCTGCTATGTTGGACTGTGCCCCTCTGCCTTCCACAATTTCTCCTCCCCTCTTCAGGACCATTAAGGGGAGGGAGCTGATGGAGACGTCCAACCTGGGCTCTCTGCCTCAGCTCCTATCAGGTGGCTTTCCATTTTTGAGGATCCATTCCACAATAAGTGGCTCCCATTTCTTTGAGCCTGTGGTAAATCAGCACTTTGTAGAAAAAGTATCAGAGCAAAGCCATTGACTCATGAGCCAGAAAGGAAGGAAAAAAAACTGAGAACAGGCAAGGCCAGAGTCCCACAACACTCTCTAAGGACATGCCACCAAAGACCAAAGGATCTCTCACAAAACCCCACCTCTCAAAGATTCCAGAAGCTCCCGATGGTATCACCTTGGAGGTCAAGCTTTTGATATCAGTTTTTGGGAGACTTCCAACACACAGGCTCTGACATCCTGTCTCGAGAGCTGTATTGGATGATGGTTATGATCACCTAGGTTCTTGATAGTAATCATTACTGAGTCCACTTTAAATCCTTCCACAGTGCTGGACCACACTCTGCTTCACATGTCACAGTGCGTTTAGTTGTGTTACGGGTACAGGAAAAGCATCTGTAATCATGCCTGTGTTCACTAGCATTCCCCGCAGAAACTCCAACTAGCAGATGAGTGTTTATATTCAGAGTCATGGTCACAGAGAGTGGGAAAGCCCATTTTTAGTGAAGATTATATTTGTCCCAAGTTTTGTCAGGGTGTTGAAGTTGAATATACAACACACAGAGCCCTATGTTTGTTGTCCAAAACCAAAAAGAAAAAGAAAGGAAGAAAGAAAAGAAAAGTCAGGTCATTGCTGGAAGTTTAGTTTCAGTGAGCTGTGACAGTCTAGAGTATAATTTAGCAAGCATTCTCATGTAACTAGTCTTCAAGCCATACTTTAAGAATGCTTACACTTTATATCTGCTGAATGGAGCCACAGGAAATGATGACCCATCTAACCAAAGAAGAAGATTCAAATGCTGGAAAGATCCAGATGGTGAGAGCCATACTCCAACATCACTGTTTGCCCGAATAAGACAGTAAGACAAGTTACTTGACCTCTGAGCCTAAACGTCTCCATTTCCTTAGAATATCCCTGGCTTAAAGACCAAATGACCTGAGAAACTATTCTATATACATATAAGAAATGCCAGGGCTCTGGTGTTTATTAAATTCTTTAATTAGGGGGAAAACTGTGTGGATTAGGCCTGTATTTATCAGAAAAGGAAATGAAGAACTGCACTTTAGGAAGACTGTGGTCGAACCATCCCAGGGATTGTCCTTAATTTCTGGCTAGCCTGTGAAGTGCTGCCCAGAGCACCTCTTCCCACACTCTGACTGACCTGTTTTCATGCTTCATCGACTTTGTAACTAATGTGCGGTTATGAGCAGATTCTTGGTTCAAAGCAGTCACTTCAACTCTAGGATAAATTAATAAATAGCTCAAGATGATTTCTTCTATGATGTCACTTCCTCTGTGTGTATGTGTGTGTGTGTGTGTGTGTGTGAGAGAGAGAGAGAGAGAGAGAGAGAGAGAGAGAGAGAGAGGAACAGGGAAGTACAGGGGCTCACAATGAGGAGTATGTAATTCCAAAGAGGCCTAGGAGGGAGGTTTTGGGTTTTGGAATGCCAGGACATTGTGTGTCTTCCATGGTGAATGCAGGAAGCCCACCATGTGCTAAGGTAAGCGGGCCTCCTTGCATTCACTTAAAACACAGATTAACTGGCTCGGCTGGGGGTGACTCTCCTCATTGTTTAGGCTATAGCAACTCAAAGGACTAGAGTTCGTGAGGAGAGGGGCAAAGGAGGAGTCAGAAGTGCAAAGAAACAGGCAGGACAGAGTGAGAATACGCTAGCCAGTTAAGCAACTGCTATGAGTACTTCTTCATTCCTTTTATCTGACAGTTGCTGCCCGAAAATAAATTTTTTATCAACATTTATGGGCTTCCATCTTCTCTTCCCAAGGATAAGACTATCCTAATTAGTAATTTTCTCTGTTTCTTCTACAAAATACTCATCTCTAATTAATTTTTAAGTTAAAATTGCTGTTCACATTACACTATACTTGAACTTTTCTCAGAACACTTAACCTCCAAAATAAAGTGTTGGTTTGAACAGCTGCTTCAGACAGATCCAGAGTAAGACACGGTCTGAACAGGCTCTCTCCTCTGACAGCCTCTCTGGATTGTAGCTTCTGGGTACATAGCATGATACAAACCAGTTTTTTTTTAAATTTTCTAGAAACTACCTTTAAAACATGAAATCGGGGGGCTGGAGAGATGGCTCAGACAGTAAAGTGTTTGCCACGAAAGCATGAGGATCTGAGTTCAGGTCCCTGGCATTCACCTTAAAAAAGCCAGGTGTTAGGGGGGAAGGAGAGACAGTGAAGAAGCCTGTGGATCCTAGGACTTGAGTGGTGGCTCTCAGCTGTCTGTAACTCCCATTCCAGGGAATTCAAATGGCACACATGCACACACGTGGACATACACATACACACAAAAACTATAAAAAATTTTATTTTCAAAGCTTGGTGTGTCAGTGCACACCTGCTATTGCACTGGGAAGAAAAGAAAAAAAGAAAAAAAGAGTGGATCCCCGGAATTTTCTAGGAATCACTGGCCTGCCAGTCTAGCAAGCTCCAGGTTCATTGAGAGTCACTGTTTCAAACAGGAGGGCGGACACTGAACTTCTGTCCACACACATAAGCACACACGCCCTCCCTTGCACGCACAGGCATGTGCAAGGTCACGGTTATGTCTGCACATATACATACACACCAAGAAATAAAGAAATTAACCCAAGATAATGTAATCATTTTGACCAAAGTTAATATGAATATTATGAACATGTGTTTTACATTTAAAGGACATTTCAATTTGGGTAAGCTACTGATAGCTCTATCAGTAGCTGTCATAGCTGGGGTAGGTCAGTTCAAGTTTGGAATCCTCCCTTTTGAAGCTTAGGGTGAACAACCTCTCACTTTGAACTTTGATTTCTATTGGATATTTGAACTCCCACATATCTTCATTTATCCATTGGTCAACGCACGGTGTGTCTACAATGTCCTAGTCATTATGCCACAAACTGGAAATACAAAAGTGCTGTAATAACAAGGCGTTGTTTGCCCTAAAGCTCCATCCGTAGGAGGGAGAGACACACAAAGGGACAATTATACAAAAATGGAGAGAACTGTGAGCCTCTGAAGGAAGTGCATAAACTTGGCTTTAGAGGTGGTACCTCCGGGATCTCTAGGCTGTGTAGTGTTTTAGCTCGGTGAAACAATGGGAAAGAACATTCTAGGGACAGATTCACCGAAGACAGCGCTATAAAGGATGGAAGAAAGGAGTGCCCAAGTGTGTGTCTGGACAAAGGTGGAAAGGGAGGGAATCAGGAAAGACACGTGAAGCAGAGAAGGTCCTGGGACGTGAAGACAGGTTTGAAAAGTAAATATTTTGAGCTTCCTCCTGTTCAGGGAAAGTGTAAATACCATTGGACTTAAGCTTCTGGCAAGGTCAGAGGCTGTTCCATAGCCTGGGCCTGGTTGCTCTGCAAGGCCAGGGCCACGTGCTAGGTTCTCACTCAATCTAGGGCTGCCATGCCGCCTTGAAGCTCTTGCTTTCTGTCTCCAGGCCTCCATCCACTTTGGCTTCAGCATGGAAGAATGCCATCAACGCCTCTGTGCTTTTTAAATTACTCGACAGGTGGAATTCACCATCGTGTATAAAAAAATGGGGGGGGGGGGTCCCAACTACCCACGATCCAGAACTACTAAGGGAGTAGTTTAAATGCATTTACGGTAAACGCCTTGAAAATTGAAAGGATTCCCCCTCCTGGCCATGTGCCTACGGAGTGACTTGACCTACCCGGGTCAAGGCCAGAGACTCTCCTGCAGGGTGGTTGTCTGGAGCGCCTCCCACCCTGGGGAGGTAACCCAATGCACGAGTGCTTGACCTGTGTCCACCGCAGGCGCCACCGGAGATCAAAGGTGGTCCCGCTGCCTCCAGAGCGACAACCCCAAGTCCCGCCAAGCCGGCCGCTGGACAACCCTATCAGCGCGCCCCCCATCCCAGGTCAGCCCCTCCTCGCGCGCCGGCTAGAAGAGGGTGGAGCAGCCTGGCTCCCGCAGCCAATGAACGCAGCGGTTCCCTGGTCCGATCCCCGGCGCGGCTCACCATTGGTCGCTGCCTGGGTCTCGGCCCACCGAACCTTGGCGACCCAAGCCAATCGCGAGGCGGCGGGCCCGACTTACAGGCTCCCGGGGCGGTGGCGGCAGGCGCTGAGCCGGCGGAGCGCGGAGCGGGCGACGGTGACGGGCGGCGCGAGCCCGCACCCTCCCGTGCGGCGCGCCGCGACACCATGGAGCCTGCCGTGTCGCTGGCGGTGTGCGCTCTGCTCTTTCTGCTCTGGGTGCGAGTGAAGGGGCTGGAGTTCGTTCTCATCCACCAGCGCTGGGTGTTCGTGTGCCTCTTCCTGCTGCCGCTCTCGCTGATCTTCGACATCTACTACTACGTGCGCGCCTGGGTGGTGTTCAAGCTGAGCAGTGCGCCGCGCCTGCACGAGCAGCGCGTGCGGGACATCCAGAAACAGGTGAGTGGCGCGGGGCGCGGCTGTGCGCCAGGGTAGCGGTTCGCTGGGCGACGGGGGCGTGTGTGGGGCTGGAGGAACGGGCGTGGGAGGGGGATCGCAAAGGACCGGGCGTGTGATGGGGGAAGGGACTGCCCGAGGATGAGACGGAATCAGCAAAAGCACCGGGGCAACAAACAGAACCCTACTCCTAGGCTTATAGAGGGGCCGCTAGGTGCAGGGCATGCGCAGTGCCTGGAAAACGAGGGACCCTAAATCTTCGGGAGGTGCGCGACAGTCAGGTAACTCATCAGCCCCCCGCATTCCAGAGGAGGAATGGCCTCTGGGAGGTGATGCTGGGAAATGAGGTAGGGGGAGATCCAAGTGGAGAGATTGGTTGAGCAATGGTAGGGAGGCTGAGGAGCACAGTCACGAGAGGAAAAAGGTTAGAAAGTCAGTTTGGAGGAGCATTATGCTGGGAAAGACGTGAAAGTTTGTTTTGCGGGCCGAGGTGCCTCGGATCCCTTTACAATCGAGGATTAGAAAGAGAAGGCAGAGTCAGCCCTCAATTCCATGTGGCGTCCCAGACTCTGGATGTGCGGTGATTTTGCACCCAGATGTAGTCGTCCCAGTAAGTAGATGAGGAGTTCACATAGGCCAGCCAGCACCTAGGCTAAGACTTCTTCGCGGTGAAGCTTCTTCCCCCATCCAGGGCTAGCATGGGCTCCCTCTGCTCCTCCTTACATTCCTCTCTAACTTGGCATCAGGCTGCAGAGAGCGTCTGCTTCCTGCTGCTGCCCTCATGGCACCCTCTTGTTCTATTTACTTCATGCTGTATGCTGCAGACCGAGCGCCTCAGGTTTAGCTTGAGGAGCAGGGAGACTGACCTCCAGACCAGAAGACCTTGCCCAATGCGAGATGCAGAGTGCAGTGATCAGAAGTACTTTACACCACCATCCTGGGTTATGCAGTTCACAGTCTCTGCTGTCTTCCACCCCCAGCTGCACCGTGTTTCCTGGGTCTACCTGGAGGTTCTATTTCCCTTTTACCTGCTTGATGCCCAGTGAGCTCCAGAGGACAGGGACTGTTATCTCCCAGTCCCCTTGGGGCAGGAGTATATTAGTGAGTGGTTGTTAACCTAAACTAAATGGAAGCATGTGCAGGAAGCAGGGAACAATGGGCCGGTCACGCTGTACCTGTGCCATTCGTGTGTGCAATTTAAAGTCCATGGCCTCCTTGGTGTCTGGTACCTGTTTTACTAAAATGAGGTTCCAGCTCTGATTCATGTGCCCAGGACAACACAACTGGTAAATAAGGCAGGCAGTCAACATTGGTAAGAGTCTGAGCTCTCAGCTCCCTCAGCCTCGGGTCTGTATCCCATCCCATCCCATGCTCTGGTTTTGTTGGCTCATGTAGAGTTTCTTACCGGAACTTCCTGAGTAGTTACCTACTTGTTGGACCCTTCCTGCCTCTCTTGAGAATTGAACAAAGAACTTTTTACCCCCAGGCTTTGCTTCTCTGTCCCAAATCCAATCAATGTTCCAGGCTTGATAGTTTCTGCCTGTGTGATCCAGCAGCGGCACCACTAATCCACTCACTCACACTCTGTTTACATAAAGTCTCCAACTGCAGGGTCAGACAGAGCTGGGTGGTCTTGGAATTCACCCTTTGTCTTCCCACCGCCTACTCCTAGTAGTGCCTTTCTGCCAGATTGAATAAGAGGAAAGCCCCTCCCCACCCTGAGCCCTTCATCTGACAGCTCCAGGGCAGCCAACTGACCCTTGACTAGACTCTGGTAAAACTTAGTTGAAGCTGGTTTGAATCAAAAGTATACTAGCTTGTATCCTGAACGCCATCTACCTGCTGGATGCCCTGTGAGTTCTCAAAGACAGAGGCTGTTCTCTGACAGCTCCCCTTGGGGCCAGAGTGTGTTAGTGAGTGCCAGTTGTGTTAGGAGTACGGCTGGCTGAGCCATAGCTGAACCCAGAACCCCTACCCCATCTAGCTTCATCCTGCCTGCCTTTCTTGGCTCTTCCTTCCCCTGAGTTGGCTCCATTCTCGTGGGGTGCTGTTTTCCTGTGGAATCCCCAACACTATCTTGCTTAGATCCAGCCGGTGTTGTCACAACCTCAGCAAAGAGAGAGTGCCCCTCCTGGAACCAGACCCAGGGGCTTGCCTGCTGGGATCACAGTCCCATTCCTAAAACTGTCACTGTGGCCAGCAGGGTACAGTCGGCCTGGGTGGAGGGGAGAGAAATCACTAGAAGCAGAAGAGGAAATGGGTTGGTGCTTGGATGCTCTGGCCTCTGCCACCAGTCACAGCTGCCTGTCTGTCTTCAGGGACAAGATAGCTTCCTCTGTTCCTCTGTTCCTTGCTAGTGCATCACTCTCTGTACCCTTCCCGATCCGGTGTGGAAGTTTTGCCGAAGTCGTTGCTTCCATTGGCTGGCTGCTCCTTCCCTGCCCACTCTCCCTGTCACATTGGTACATGAGTTAGCGTGTGGGGATGCTGACGACAGGCATCCACTTGGCACGGAATATGCTTCATAAGTAGCTCTTCTTCCATGGACTAAGCCCATCTGTCTTCCAGCTCTGTCTTTTTGGCCCTGTGGTTGTTCAGTCCTGACTATGAATCTAGGTCTTGTCAGTCATGGGGGTGTATGACCTCATACAGGCTATTTTGCCTGGGTTTCCTCATCTGCAAAAGGGGGTGGGGGTCACCCAACCTCCTGAGATTAAAAGATCTAACAAGACAATGTACAGTAGGTGCCTCCTTGGGTGATTGTACAGTGGAGATGATAATCACGTTAATAATTGCTCTGTTACTGCTAAAAAGCCTTTCCTGGACTTTCCACGTAATGTCTTTGGAGTACTCTAACTGTTCTCTAGTTCTTTTTTGCTTTCTTCCTTGTGAGTCTCCCTAGCTCACAAGGTCAGCAGAACAGCCAGTGTATTGTTATCGCACAGAGAAAGCCCAGAGAGCATCCCCATCCTCTCCATTGGTGCCCAGATAAAGCCGTTTTCCTCTGCTCCCTCATCCTGAAGGAGGGCTGTGAGCCCCTCTGGGAATCCCAGATGGAGCCATCTGAGTCTTGTCCTCTGGTTGCAGGTTCGGGAATGGAAGGAACAGGGCAGTAAGACCTTCATGTGCACGGGCCGTCCGGGCTGGCTCACTGTCTCACTACGCGTTGGAAAGTACAAGAAGACTCATAAGAACATCATGATCAATCTGATGGACATTCTGGAGGTAGACACCAAGAAACAGGTGAGGGGGCTGGGGTCACAGCTCGGTGGTAGAGCGTTCACGTTTACCTAGCATTGTGCAAGGCCCTGGGTTCAATCCCAAGTACTACTCTCCCTCCCCTCCCCTCCGAAAAAGGGAACAAAACCAGGCGAGCACATGCTGTACTCTGGCTCTGGGAACAGGTAAAAACTGCCCCTGGTGTGAGTGACTCACAGGGAAATGAGTTCAGTCAGTGACATCCCAGAGTAGACAGGGCCAAGGCCATCAGGAGAGGCTCTACCTCCCATTGTTGTCCTCCCAAGCGCCACAGCTGCTAGGAGGAGAGCCTGCCTATAGCCAGCCATGCAAGCTGAGAACTCCAGGAAGTCTCTTGACTGCCTTAGTTCTATAAGAAAAAAATAGGGATGGAGAAATCACAGGCAAAAATGAGACAAAAGGACCCTGTTTATCCATCCTGGTAAGAAGGTGTGCTGGTAGGCTGCGAAGGAAGCAGGAGAGGGGAACTTGGTATAGGCTTGTTGGTTGGATATCCCAAAAGTACACACACTCCTTGCCACTGCCACCCACTGCTCACACACACACACAGACACACACACACACACACACACACATACACACACACATATTCTTAATGCTTCTGGGCCTTTTAGCTAAGATAAAGTGTAGACATTCTTCTTTTCAACACACAGCTTAAGGAAAATGGAATTCAGCTTCCCTGTAATTAGAGATCTCCAGCGCAGAGATTTGTTTTACACTTTTATTTTGATAGAACATTGCATTATCCAGCAGCAGGAGCAGCACTGACTACAAAGTGTCCGCCTGATGACATTTCATCAGTGTGAGACCTTGACCAAAGTACTTGTGTCACTGTGCCTTCAATGATACAGCATTGTTGACATTACCTGGCACAGTAAACCGCACATATTTAAAGTGTGCAGTTGGGTAATAAATTTTGACATGAGTTTTGACATGATTGCATCAGTGAAACCATTATCAAAATACAGAACGTACCTCACAGCCTTAAAAATTTACTCATCTTTGTATTTCTTTCTCTAAACCCCTCCCTGCCCAGTCCACCCACAGCCTCTGGTTAGCAGTGTTCTGCTTCTGTCGTTATAACTGAGTGTTGACTTTGGATACTATTGAAAAAAATCATTTAGTGCGTACTTCTTTGGTCTGGGTTCTCTAATGAGTATTCTAAGATGCATCCATATTAATGTCCCTGGTACATACTGTTTTGCTGCTACATAGTATGCTTTGCATGATCAGCCTGCTTAGTCATTTACCTGCTGATGGATGTCCCTGCCATTTCCACTTTGAGGCTGTTACAAAATAAGTGGTTAAAACCCTTTTGGACAGGCTTTCTATAGACATGTAAGGTATTTCTTTAGAGCTGGAGAGCTGGCTGGGCTTTTTCAGGGGACCTGTGTTCAGTTCCTGTCTTTGATGCCAGGCAGCTCACAATGCTTACAACTCCAGCTCCAGGGGGGCCAGTGGATACCCCTGAGTTCCACCACACATATACACATAGTTTAAACACATAAAAATAAAACAGAGACCGGAGAGATGACTCAGTTAAAGCTGTGTACTGTGCGTGTAAAGGACCCAAGTTTGGTTCCTGGCACCTACATCAAGGGGTTCACTACCACCTGTAACCCCAGCTCTGGATATAAAGCTTCTTGCTTCCCCAGGGCACCTGCATAACATGTACACACACACACACACACACACACACACACACACACACACATATTTTAAAATAAGAAATCTACAGCACTTGGGAGGCAGAGGCAGGCGGATTTCTGAGTTCGAGGCTAGCCTGGTCTACCGAGTGAGTTCCAGGACAGCCCGGGCTATACAGAGAAACCCTGTCTCGGAAAAAAAAAAAAGAAATCTAAAAATATAAAATAAAAGTAATCTTTAAAAGTCTTTACTTGGGCAAATGCCTAGGAGTAGAACGGCCACTCCCACGACAGGCAGATGTTTACTTACGTTTAAGGAGACAGTCAGGTTGTTTTCCTAAGGAGTAGCTTCACTTTACAGTGCCATGGGTAGTGCGTGCCTGCTGCTACATATTGCTGAATCTGTTGTAGCTGGTCTTGATTTTACCCATTCTCAGGGTGAGATGGGGTGGCGTCTCCTTGCAGTGACTGAAGACCCTGGTCACCCTTCTGTACTAGCCACTGTCATGTTGTCTTTGGTGAGGCTCATATCTTTTGCTAATTTTTTAAAATCCAAAATCATTCCATATTGTCTCCTAGCCCGTGGCTTGTCTTTTGAAAATCAGAATTTTACCACCCATGCGGGGAATGTGGAAATCAGAAGACGGTTTCAGGAATAATAAATTCTCTCCTTCCATCTTACAGGGTCAGGCTTGGTGACAAGTGTCTATCTACTGAGCCATCTTACCCTCCCTAAAATACTTCTTGATTTCCCTTTTGCTATGTGTTTTGACCTTAGGTTATTACAAGGATGTTAACTTTCCAAATATTTAGCAACATCTTTCTATCTTGGACTTCTAGTTTAATTTAGCTGTTGCCAGAAAATTGAATGCTTTCAACTTTTTAAAGAGAAAAAAAATAACAACAGACTGTGTGTGTGTACACATGTGTATATATACTCACGTGAATGAGCTGTTTGAGAGTGACAAATGTCAACTAGGTCTCATTGCTCATCGGCTTGCCCAAATCTGCCCTTACAGCTCTGTCACTTACTTCTCTCTGATACTAGACATAAACAAATATGTTTGTTTAAAATGTCTTTTTTTTTTCTTTTTTTTTTTTGGTTTTTGGTTTTTTGAGACAGGGTTTCTCTGTGTAGCCCTGGCTGTCCTGGAACTCACTCTGTAGACCAGACTGGCCTCGAACTCAGAAATGCACCTGCCTCTGCCTCCCAAGTGCTGGGATTAAAGGCGTGCGCCACCACTGCCCGGCAATGCTAGTCTCTCATTAGACTAGCCATGGCATGATTTGTATTTTTTTTTAAATATTTACTGTTGAACTAGCATAGTGTGTTTGTCTTACTTTTTTTATTTTTTTATTTGTCTTGATTTTTTTTATTCAGTCTGGCAGCCTCTGTCTTTTTCTTTTTTTTTTTTTAATTTATTTGTGTTATGTATATGAGCCCACTGTAGCTGTCTTCGGACACACCAGAAGACACCAGATCTTGTTACCAGAAGACACCAGATCTTGTTACAGGTGGTTGTGAGCCACCATGTGGTTGCTGGGAATTGAACTCAGGACCTCTGGAAGAGCAGTCAGAGCCACTCTCTGAGCCATCTTAACCACTGAGCCATCTCTCCATCCCCTCTGTCTTTTAATTGCGACTGTGAGACCATTTGCATCTACTGTCCTTACTTGCTGTGGCGCCTTCAGTCTGTCACGTGTGGTCTATTTATGTACACTTTTTCCTTGTTCCTTTTTCTTCCCCATGTTCTCATCTTAGTGAGTCTGTGCTAGTATCTTTCTGGCTTGCTGTGCTAGCATCCTTTCTGACTTGCTGTGCTAGCATCCTTTCTGGCTTGCTGTGCTAGCATCCTTTCTGACATCTTTCTGTAGCTCTGCCTGGGGGTTTCCAGTATACATGTTCCTGAAAGCAGTGATGTTACCTCACTTCACACATGGTGTAAATATCTTATGATGATATATTTCTGTTTCCTTCCTGCCACCTTTTCTACTATTCTGTACATTTTTCTTAGCTCCACACTGTATTATATCATTATTTTGTTGCCTAGTAAAGGAATTTAAATATAAGAACATCTGTTTGTCTGTAGAGTTACTGTCTTTTCACTTTATTCTAGAGATTTATGTCTGTTCATTGTTTTCCTTTTGCTCAAAAGACCTCTTAACATTTCTTGTATACATGACAACTTATATAAATATGTATTCTTTCAGTACTTTAAAGAAGTTATTCCACTACTTTTGTTTGCATCATTTCTAGCAAGAACTCTGTCAGGAGTTTTTGTTTTAATGTATTTTTTTAATGTGTCTGTCTATGCACACATGTGTGTGCCTCTCCCAAGAGGCCAGAAAAGGGCATCAGATCCTGAAGTTCCAGGTGGTTGTAAGCTGCCCAACATGAATGCTGGAAATTAAACTCAGAGTTGGGCTTAATGGCTTAAGCCACGACCGAGGCAGGTGGATGGATCTCTGAGGTTAAGACCAGCCTGGCCTGCAGAAGGAGTTCCAGGACAGCCAGGGCTACACAGGGAAACCCTGTCTGGAAAAAATAGGAAAGGAATATATAGGAAAATGAAGATGGAGGGAGGGAGGGATAGCAGCCCTCTTAATAGGTTTTCCTCTCTCTTTTCAGCTGTTGAGACATTTTCTTAATCACTAGGTTTGGGTAATTTTATTATGAAGGTTTTTTGCTACTGTTTTCTTCATCATTCTTGGGTTTAAATTTTGTAAAGTTTTTACTGATTGTAGAAAGTTTAAGGGCTTTTTTTTCCCCTGCCTTCTTTTTCCTCTCCTTCTTTGGGGACTGCTATTACAGGTATATTAGGCCTTTTTAACTTGTTCAAGTTATTTTACTTTAGATGGTTTCTATTACCATAAATATAAGTCCACTGTATCTTTCATTTCAGACACTGGGTCTTGCTAATATTTTTGTTTACTTATGTATGTATGTATGTGTATGTATGTATGTATTGTGTACAGATGCATATGCTGTGACATACATGTGAAGGTCAGAGAACTATTTTCTTTTCTTTTTTTTTTGTTTTGTTTGTTTGTTTTTCGAGACAGGGTTTCTCTGTGTAGTTCTGGCTGTCCTGGAACTCACTCTGTAGACCAGGGTGGCCTCAAACTCAGAAATCCGCCTGCCTCTGCCTCCCAAGTGCTGGGATTAAAGGCGTGCACCACCACTGCCCTGCTGAGAACCATTTTCAAAAGTATAAATTTCTGGAGACTGACCTCAGGTCTTCTGGCTTGCAAGGCACGTTCTTTATTCTCTGAGCCCTCTTGCTGGCCCTGAAGTTTAACAATTTGAATAAGGAGAATCCAGTTGATTTATCTGATTACTAATTCTATTGTCTGTCAGTTCTAGGTCTGTGTTACTTGGTGGATTTTTCTCATCATTATGGGCTGTATTTTCCTGTCTTTTTGCATGCCTGTAACTTTTAATTGGACTGTTAGGGCACTCTGACCTTTTCCTAGGGGTGTTGGCTATTGCATTCCTGCATGTCTTGAGGTTTTATTTCCAGGAGGCGGCTATATTTCTTGGCAACAATTTGATCCTGTTGGGTCGTGATTTTCTTGAAATGGACCAGAGTACCATTTAATCTGGGTTAATTGTTCCCTGCTACTGAGGCAAACCATTCTCAGGACCTGCTCAACACCACAGGAATCAATTTTTTCAGGCTGGCTTATGGGAATAGGTACTATGTCCTACCCTGGATGACATCCTGGCTTCTTTACCTGTAATCGTCTCTTCGGATTCTGTTCCCTGGCCTCAGCCTCAGCCTCAGCCTCAGCCTCAGCCTCAGCCTCAGCCTC